ATAGAAAATAATTTATTTATATATTTTTTCACATTATTAATTTGCAATCGTATAAAAATATCGATTGTTTTACATGTTTCAGTCATCGATGACAGGCTTATCACAGCCCAGGCTTTTATATTCCTTGTGGCTGGCGATACCCCATCGGGGACTATAAGCTTCACTATGTATGAATTAGCTGCTAATTCTAAGATTCAAGAAAAGTTGTACGACGAAATACGAACTGTCTATGAGAAGCACGGTTGTTTTTCTTACGATATTATATCCGAAATGAAGTATCTCGATTGCGTCGTTCGCGGTAAGTATTCATCCAAATAAAAATTCCAATAATTAAATAGCATAATGTAAATATATTTGCAAAATACAATTATTTCAGTAATAGCTATTAAGATCATTGGTCATCCAGTTATTAGATGTTAATCACTAATCTAAGATAATTCTTAGTTTTAATGTTCACAAATTATTATAAAAATTAAATTTAAAAGATAAGATAAAAGTTGTATTTATCAACAATTTTTTATTAACTTCTATTTAAAATAAACACATTATTCTTTATTACTGTTACAAGCTTTTGTATTATACATATAAAACACAAACAAAAAGAAGTAGAATGACATGGTTTAATATTTAGCACGATTATAAATCCCTCTCATTAAATAAGAATCGTGTTTATATTAATGAAGAGACATTGACGATTTTAAAAAGATGCTACGCTTTTAGAAGCACTTAGGAAGTATCCGCCCACTGGTGTGATACACAGAGTCTGCGGAAAATCATACAAAATTCCCGATTCGGATGTTGTTTTAGAAAAAGGTACAAAAGTTCTCGTGCCTATTTATGCAATTCATCATGATCCGCTTTATTATAAAAATCCAGATACATTCGATCCGGACCGATTTATTGAAAATAAGAAGCTTTATAATGACACATATCTACCTTTTGGTAATGGACCACGAATTTGTATTGGTAATATATTTTGACAAATTAACAAAACATTGAATAATTGAGCAACATTTATGTAAATATATATTATATATATATATATATATATATATATATATATACACACAATATATATATACAAGGTGCCGCATAAGAAAACATCGACCACATTGACCTCACCTTGAAAAGACCACTTAAGGTCAAATCCATATTTTTATCATGTGGCCCTCTCGAAACCATGCAACTTTTGTCTGAAACATTTTTTGATATCTCATTTCGTTTCCGAAAAATATGCCCGCGTCACTATAAATGCCGCACCCTGTATATATATTTTGAAAAATATGCATATTTAGAAATTCTACATATTTTTCAAAACATTGTAATACGACTAGAAAAATTTAATATACTTGCTTTATATTATATAAAGTTATTAACAGTTATTAACAGTACTTTTCGTATAACTTTCTATTTTCATGATAAACAGGAATGAAGCTTGGTTACATTATAACAAAAGTATTTCTCGTTACTCTTATGGCGAATTATAAAGTGGAACTAAGTGAGAAGACTGCTATTCCATTACAGTTTAAACCGACTAGTGTTACGTTGAGAAATAAATCTGGGATATGGTTGAGAATCCGGCGTCGTTTACAAGAATAGAAAACAACTATACAATTAAAATATTAATTAAGCGGAGCATTTCAGCAAAGATATATTGCAATTAAAGAAAAACTGTAATTCAGTATTGTTTACGCCGGAGAAATTTATGTGTGTACGGAAATTTTGATTAACTCAGTTTCAAATAAATAAATTTAAGAAAAAAAGAAAAAAAAGATATATATATATATATATATATATACATGCTATTGAATTTTTGTAAAAAGTATGTAAAGAATTACCCAGCAGTGTTAAAGTGCAAAATTAAGATGTACCGTTTCATAATTTTATAAGATGTAATTATTTACATTAATTATATATCGTATATCTTATATAAAATACGACGATGCTCTTACCTGCATAATAACGATATCATCTTTAACGATATGCATCTTTAACGATTCTGCTCCGATTTAAGCGCATTACGTACTTGTGAGAATGCGATATAAATTTCTATTAAATAATCGCCTTAATATTATTGAGTTGATGTTATAAATATGTACTACTTATGTATAAACGTATCCGTTACATATATTGTATATTTAAATATATATATACACAATATACCGAAATTATTCATGTTAATTTCAATAAAAGTCAATGTATTGTTTTGGGAGAAAGACGAAAAGCTTATTGAAATTTATTTTATTATTATTTTTGATATATTTACTTAAATAAATATATAAATATCAGAATGACTGATTATATGCTATTTATTCACATACACAGTGCAGATATCAATATAAATAAAAAATATCAATGGTAAATAAAAAGAGAAAGAAGGGGGGAATATCTTCACTTTATATGATTAAAAAGAAGTTACTTTTGTAGGTGTCCTTGATCCAAAAACCAGTCTTGCATATATTGGTTTTGCAAGAGTATATAATACTGCATTTCTCTGCATGTAGCTTGCAGTTGTTCGCGTACCTCTCGGATCTCAAAATATTTTTAAGAGACGGACAAGCAATATATTTATAATTCAAAACTTATTGCACGTAGAAAAATAAGTGTAAACTGTAAACAAAGCATATCAATGTTTAACTATTCTCAATGTAAGTTAGAAAGTATTTTTAACATATTTGTCTATTTTCAAATCTGATATAAAACGTATACATGATTGATTCAATATTTGACAAAATATATAGTTCTATAATAACATATGTGTACGCAATATTGTTCATTTATAAAATAAAATTTTGATTCTATATTTAACTCTTTTTAATAAATTGTTACTTGTAAAATTAATCTAATAATTTTCATTTCAGAAACTTTAATGGTAAATATTTTACGGTATTAATCCGTTACTGTAAAAAATGATTTTGTTATTGCTGCTAGTTTCCTTATGCATCTTACTACTATATTACTACTGGACGAGACTTTATACATACTGGTTAAGAAGAAACGTACCTTGTCTTAAATTTTCGTTTTTCGGAAATAGCCGAAATGCATCGATGCTGAAGATTACAGTCGCTGAAAGTCTTCAGATGATATATAAAGAGTACGAAGGATATCCGTTCGTCGGTATATACGAGCTCGCAACACCGGTCCTCCTGTTGAGAGATCCAAAACTAATTAAATGTATCCTCGTGAAAGACTTTGCCTGCTTTCAAAGTAAGTGAACACAAAACTCTCTCCTCTTAAGTTTATTGACTTGTTAAACTCTTTCTTTAATATAAAAGTGTTTTTATTCAAACTGTTCTGTTAGCTATATTTGGACTTTTGTCATTGCAGTCTAATTAATTTCCCGAAATTAATTCTCTCTGCATTTATTTTTATATAATTATTTCTTTTCTACTCTTATAATTACGATCAAATACAAGTAGGCTTAAATTTTTAAGCGATGAATAATGAGATTTTAATGCAATTTCTGTTACGTGATTGTATTCCAATAAACACAATTACACTTGTTAGTGATTGCCATTATTTATTCATATTCTATTTAGGTCGTGGCATAGCGATAAACGAACACGCTGATCCGCTTAGCGCACATTTAATTAATCTCGACGGGCAACGGTGGCGAAAATTGCGCACGAAGCTCACATCGGCCTTTACAACAAGCAAAACTCGACACGTGTTTGAATTGATCAAAGAAGTGTCAGAAAAGTTTAAGGTATCTCATATGTTATTCTTTATACATTATTTTCTATTGGCAAAATATTTTTAGCAAAATATCTCTGTTTTTAAGTATCAAAGTTCCTTGAAAAAATATAAAACATAATTAATAATAAAAAAATATATAATAAATATATAATAAATAAGGTGGAAAAATAACGATTATACGTGTCATCATATTATTACACATCCGTACACATTATTTATATTAAAAACATAAATTTTTAAAGAGGAATATGTTACGTGATAAATTCAAACTTGAACTTCTTTCTTAATATATTATATTAATAATAAATAATAATTATTTATTTAAATCTTTAGAAGAAATATAAAAGGAACTTAAAATTTAATCTGTAAATCTATATTATTATTCAAAACAAATTCTGGAATAAAACTAAACTATATTTGCCAAAGAGTATAACAATATAGCAAATTATAAGTTAAAAATTTCAAAAAAACTTTTAATTTGGTTTTTTTAGTAGATAATTTAAAACAATGTGCACAACATATTCAAGAGAAAACAATATTAGGCACCATATTAAAAACAGCAATCATCTCGAATCAAAAGTTTCCTCTTTTTCTTATTCTCTCTAATTATAGAAACTAAATAATTTATCTAAAGTAGTCGAGCGTTTGCTTTAATTGTAAAAAGATTTTACTTGAATACATATTAATTCCAGATATATAACATTCAATAAAAATTTTGTAATTATAAACTAATTTAAAATACATCTGCGGTATTAATTTACAAAATACAAAGCGTCTTCGGAACTCATTAAATGCACAAAATAAAAACCTTTCAAAATATTTCCAAAATAAATTATTTTAATGCATTGTTCCTACAAACAAACTCTAAATGCTAACAATAAGACGATATATTCATGCTGTATTTGTCAAGTTATAGATCTTGCACTAAACTAATAAAGTCATCTGGTTTAGCAATTTGTAGACCAATATGCAAACAATGAAGAGCCTGTCGAAATTCGAAATCTTACTGCCAAGTTTACCAGTGAGATCATTGCAACCTGTTTTTTCGGACTCAAAATTAACACGATACAAAATGGTGATTCCGAATTTCGGAAAATATGCAAAAAGGTCGTGGATCCGTCGTTAGAGATAGCAATGAAGAGATACATACGCGATTACATGCCCGGAATATTTAAATGGTTATCGGTCTGCTTAACACCTCGAGATGTAACGTATCAATTTATTAATATTATTATAAGTAAATAGCAAGAAAGAAAGATCTGTTTTAATTTATATAATTTATGTTTGTTTCATCTCTTTCTTATAAAGGTTACCGCCTACTTCACGAAGATAGTAAAAGAAATAATTACACACAGGCAAATGAACAATATAACACGTAATGATATTATGCAAACTTTGATAGACTTAAAATATAAGAAATCAAAGATGGAAAATGCGCTAGCACAAAACGAGACATCCGAATCTAATGATATAGGTATTAAAAAAACATCTTATTTTTTTGTCTAAGATCCTTTTATTCAGAGTAGTTTTATATATAATTATATATGATTATGTTTATATATAATTAAATATTCATTTATAATATTAATAATATTATAACTTGGGCGTTTTCCGATGTTATTTATTATTAACATCTAGAATAATATCTATAATTAACTGTGTCTATTTATGTATCCATAACGATGTTAGAAAAAAAGTGAAGTTTTTATAAGTCCAATTTGCAATCGATCATTTTACATGTTTCAGTCATCGATGACATGGTCATTGCAGCTCAGTCTTTTATATTTTTTCTGGCTGGCTTTGAAACCTCATCAACGACTATGAGCTTCACTATGTATGAGTTGGCTGCTAATCCTAAGATTCAAGAAAAGTTGTACGACGAAATACGAGCCGCCTACGAAAAGCATGGCTATTTCTCTTACGATATTATATCCGAAATGAAGTATCTCGATTGCGTCGTTCGCGGTAAGTATTCATCCGAAAAATTCCGATGATTAAATAGCATAATGTAAATATGCTCGCAAAATTCAATTACTTCAGTAACAATTAGTAAGATCACTCAGTTATTAGCGATTGACTACTAATCTAAGATAATTCTCAGTTTCAATGTCCACAAATTCTTTTATAAAAATTATTGCAAAAGGTAAAAGAAGAACTGTGTCAACAATTTTTTATTTACTTTTATTTAAAATAACCACGTTGTTTTTTATTACTGTTGCAAGTTTCGTGTATTATAAAAAACACAGACGAGAAGAAGTAGAATAGCATGCATGAATTTATATTTAGGTTACAAATTATTATATAATAATTTATAACCTAAGTTTATATTAAGGAAGAAATATTGACGATTTTAAAAAGATGTTTTTAACACTTTTAGAAACACTTAGAAAGTATCCGCCCGTTGGTGCGACACAAAGAATCTGCGCAGAATCGTACAAAATTCCCGATTCGGATGTTGTTTTAGAAAAAGGTACAAAAGTTCTCGTACCTATTTATGCAATCCATCATGATCCGCTTTTTTATAAAAATCCAAATGTATTCGATCCGGACCGATTTATTGATGAAAATAAGAAGCTTCATGATAATGACACATACCTACCTTTCGGCAATGGACCACGAATCTGTATTGGTAATATATTTAAACAAATTAATAAAATATTTAATAATTGAGCAATATTTATATAAATATATGTATATAGCAAGATGTATATGTACATATGTACATATACATTCATATTTTTTAAAACATTGTAATACTACTAAAAAAAATTCAATATATATTCACTTTATATTATATAAAGTTATTAATAGTGCATACTTTTCATATAACTTTTTATTTTCATTGTAAATAGGAATGAAGTTTGCTTATGTCCAAACAAAAGTAGGTATCGTTACTCTTATGGCGAATTATAAAGTGGAACTAAGTGAGAAGACTGCTATTCCATTACAGTTTGAACCGACTAGTCTTACGTTGGCAAGTAAATCTGGAATATGGTTGAGAATTCGTCGTCGTTTACAAGAATAAAAAACTGTATTATTAAAATAATTAATAAAAATATCTTGAGAGATTAATGAAGAGCTGTTATTCAGTATTCACGCCGGAGTAATTTATGTATATACAGGAATTTTAATTAACTCAGCTTTAAATAAATAAATAAATATACATATATATCTACATACGTACTTAATATTTGAACTGTCAAATACGTTGCTCAGCCATGACAGGCTTTTATTGATATAAAGTAATGCACAGCACAGTGTCGAGATAACCAATCAACATCGCGGAAAAGAGGCAACAATACTTATGAGTATCGGTTTAACATCCCTTTTTTAAGAGTGGACAAAATACTTCAGGTTTATAATTAATATATGTATACAATAACTTTATTATTGTTTATAATATTTTCATATTGGCACATTTATTTATAAAACATCGATTTTATTTGCTTGTGATGTATCATTATTTAATGTAATATGAATTATAAGAATTGGCTGTTTTCGAGAACGCTGCGAACTTTCGACAAGTTATCGTTCATTTTTGTCAATTTTTTTGTTGTATAGGCTAAATGCTTGCTTATGTCGAGTCCACGTTGTTCGGCAAAAGCTTTTATCTGTAACAAATTATTTCAAATTTGCAATTAGCTATCACATAGAAAAACAATATTATATTATTTTACCTTTTCAATGTGATCTTCTCCAGTACTCCTCATAATAATGTAGTCCAGACTATATTGGTCATATTTGCTATTATAAAATATATATTATTTAAAATTGCTTTAAAATGATTATTAAACGTAGTTTTTTGTTATGTCTATCTCTGAGCAGAAAATATTATTTATACATGTAAATATTTTGTTTTGTATATGTGCAATTATATCATGCAGCACAGTAAAACATGTATTTCTCAAAAAGAAGAAGACAAAGCATACATTTAAAGAATATTGATTACACGAAAAGAAAAGTTGCTTACTCTGCGACAATCTGGTCGAAATGTTTTATGAAGAAATCAATCGCCTTATCTACATTTAGCAGATTGTCAAGCATATTTTTAAAGAGATGATAATATTTATTTCTTTCCTTTACAAAGTTTAAGTGCTTTTCGATGATGTCCAAATTTTCCGAACAACCAAGGAACGTAAGATGACTCGTTGATGTTTCATTTCCTCTCTGCAGAAATTGATTCCAGATAGATTCATTAGCTTGTATCAAGCCAAAGCAGATAAATTCTTCAGATGAAATTCTAATACGAAATTAAAATGAAAATATTTAAGATTTGTTTAAGCAATTCTTTTATTAAATACATAAAAAATCGTGCATTAAATATGACTTTTATTTCGTTTTATTTTTCGTAGTAAAATGTGATGCGTCGACAATGAAAGTTATTAATCTGATATAATCTTTTTAAAAAACATTTGATGTTATGTATCATTTCGGACATAAGCTTATCTTATTTTGATTAAACAAAAGTAATAATCCAAAAATTAACATTTTATTTTATAAACTAATTGTTTTCGTGTTATAGAGAAAATCAGTATTATTGTACTATCTACTCTAATTTAATGATGTTTGAGATAAAATCAAATTTGTTAAATTTATTTGTCATATTTATATGTCTTATTGTTAGTAATAATAGAACTCACTTGTTTGCAATTGGATCTTCCACATATGCAAGTAATTTAGCGGTAGCTTTTTCTCGACATTTCGGATGTGTGTTATATAAACAAGCAATGTTACTGAAGTCTGACCTAATTTTTATAGTCATAAAATCGTCATCAGGATGGTCATCGAAACCGATACTTTCAAATAGTTTATGCGTCAAGTTGAAGAAATATGGCTTAAAAACATTTTATAATGATCAAGCAATGCGCAGATTAAAAATGCGGGAACTTAGAATTTGAGAGATAGATTAGTTTTCTTTTTGATAATTGCTTTAATTAATGGATATTTGATTTGTGAAAATCAATCACAAAATTAGAAAATATTAATATTTATTTTTTCTTGATATTTTAATATTTTAAATATTTTAATTTTTTTTTTCTCTATCTTTTTTTTATTTTTTCTTTCTATTAGGTTTTAATTTACCTAATTAATCACTTTTAATAATATTGTAATAAATTGTGTAAAACGTATCTTACTTTAACGATCGCGACTCCTTGAAGCATCGACAGATAATCAAATATTTCGGATTTAATGATTCGGAATGCTGTATACCATGGGATAGGATCAATTTCGCGTGACAAATACTTTATAACGTCGACAAAAGTAATAGAATCAAGCTGTTCGATCACCATCAAGTAGTGAGCGTCATCGATGATTTGTGCACGATTCAAAATTGGAATTTTGTCGTAATCGTCGGAATTAAGGAAAGCAGCGATTCGTTTCCAATTGGTTACATCATAATTTACGCGATAATAACCTGTTTAGGATAAGAGAACGGCTAAATATATAATGTACATGTAGTGGAGTAAATTTCAATATTTCAGAATTTGCTATCGCACAAATATTGAATAAATTCTTTAATTGTATATTTTATATCGCGACGATGATTACCTGTTAACTGCTTATTTACAATAATCCAGTCATTAACATCCACTCCTTCGATCTTTACACTCTCATCCTGAGGTTTTAACCAATGAGTGGCCAGCGTTGATGAAGAATTCGGGTTACTTTGCGTCATATAGTTCAACGGAATCCACCACGCGTCGTTTCTTTCAGTATCATTGAATTTTGAGATTTTAACTCTCTTATATTGCGTCGCCTTAATTTCACCTGTATCATAATCTCGATCTATTGTCACGATAGGATACGCTGTCTGATTGAACCAAGTGTCCATCACTTCTTTTACTTTAAAGTCATTGTGCGGTACGTCTGACTCATCGAGAGCATCTTGTAATGCTTTCCATAAATCATCTGGCGTGGCACTGCTATATTCACTGAAAATCAAGAATGTACACAATATATAAGCATAATTGATAATGATAATTAAAAGATTCTCTGTTTATTTTTGTAAATGCAGTCTAATACATTTCTTCAAAGCTTAAGAAAATTAATACACATAAATTAAATTCTTTTTAGCTTTAAAATTAATTTAAAAAAACACATGTTTAACATATTTTAAAAATCAGCTAAATTTTTCAATCAGAGGCATATCTACGATTAAATACGCAAAATCAGTTTAATGTTAATCGAACATACGCGGTAAAGTTGCTGACACTTTCTCACATCTGTTAACATATAGATTTTCTGTTATTTAAAAAGTTAATAGTAATAAAAAATTTCAAAAAAATTGTACTAACTGTGCTTGAAGATATTTTATCAAACCTTCTCGAAATACGTCTTCTCCCAAGACATGCGATATCATTCGCAATAGAACAGCAGCTAAAAAATGAGAAACAGAATTTATAATTATTATTTGCAAATAAATATAAACAATCACGCAATATAAAAAATATAATGTTTATTTTGATTTACATTAATTCTGAAACGTACTATTATGCTTTTAATCCGCATGTTTTAAAGAAAATAAATGTAAATTATTATATGAAAATTGACTTGATATTTTTTAATAGTCTTAACATATTAATTTGGCATCTTTTTCTATCTTTTATTGTAAATAAATTATTTTTCGTTTGTAAAAGATATTATTATAGTTATTTTATAACAACTACCCAATTCTTCAACTAGATATTTAACAATACCATTATATGCATATAATTAAATAAATATATTTTAAAAATGTCTTACATTTTACGTACGTGTTGCTAGAGTAAGCGTCATAGACATCTAAGTGATTAGTAATGTTTATGTTGATCGGCTCAGAGTGGAAAGAATCCATAAGCAATTGTGATTGTTCATCTTCCACCACAAAAAAGTCCATCAGTCGCCATTCTTTGATAAACTGAGAAGAACAATCTCGTTAAAAAATTAATGCAATATATTTTGATCGTGCAGTCTACCTATACCTTGTCTGTAATATAGTACTTCATGTAATTCGATATGCCCTCACTCAACCAAAGATAATTCCACCAAGCCGGGCTGACTAGATTTCCAAACCATTGATGCGCCAACTCGTGAGTGATTGTCATAGTATTGCTAAATTTCGAGAGTAAACTCTCGTCTTCAAGAAGTACATATTGCCTTAAAATTTTCGGATATTTATACATTAGAAAGACGATTATATGATATATATATATATAATATACATATAATATTGTATTGCGATATAGTAAATCGACAAATATAATTTTTAGAGGACATTTTGCAATGCTCATATACTTGTAGATATCGAGAGAAGATCTACGTAAAGAAATAATTTTTATTATTAATTTTTATTATTATCTTAGTTTTTAAGGGATAATTAATTATTTTCTCTGACGAGTATAAGAGATACGCTTGTGTACTCACGCATAGGCGATCATGCCCCAGTTTTCGGTGGCACGGCTCGAATATTGGGGAACGGCGACGTGATCCATTTTCGGCACGTGAACAGTGCTGTTGGTGAATCTTTCGAGCTCGCGCGTTGCCTTCTCGGCGATATCGAGAGGATACGCGGCGTAACGAAGAAGATGCCTCGGACCCCATATTTTCATGGTACCGTCCAGATTGGAGACATAATCGTAATCGGCGATCACGAATCCCAGCAGATTGGTGGACATGATGGGCGTCGTTTCGAAGTATGTCCACAATTTTCCGTCGATCGGATCGACTTCCGACCGTGCGGATGGCATGTTAGATAACGCCGTATAATTAGGATAGTGCTTTATGGAAAATTTGAAGGTCGCTTTTATGGCGGGCTCGTCCCAGCACGGAAACGCCTGTCGCGCGGAGACCGGTTGCAAATGCGTTGCTGCCAACCATCTGTAAATTCATTGTAATTTACTTCAACGCGCGAATAATCATCGCGTGGAAGCATTAGATCGTTGTAAACGTTCGCCATCGTAATTCAATAATTAGGGCAATTGAGACAGTTAAAAAGATGATATATCATGCTCTCCTATTAATTTTATTTACATTTATTTATTTTATAATATACTTATATTATATATTTATATTATATTATATAAATATAATATATTTATATTATAATATATTATATTTATATGTTACATCTCTCTCCTCTATTAACTTTATTCGTACGTATAAATCTCTTATTAACAATTACTTACACTTTGTGACCTTCGTTATCAGTATAGAAACTTCTGTAGAATCCACGCGTATATCCGATCACACCCGCGAATTTCAGATATAGCTTGTAAGTTCCAGGATCCAATCGCTCCTCGAATCGTATAGTCAAAATTTGCGTGTCATAGTTATATTCATGTTCCTTTGGAACATAATTCTGTGTAGCATTTATATCGTCATCCCCTTTGCGAGTCAGTCTCGTCAGCGATTCGTCTATCGTCAGTTTTACGGTGTGTAACGCGATCGTGTTTGTCGGTTTGCGCACCTCGATATCGATATTCATTTCACCCTCGGAGGTGAAGTTATCTTCCACGATATGCGGTATTAATTTTATGTCGTAATGAATCGGTACAACTTGTTTTGGTAGCCGATACATATTTTCCTCTACTACTATATTATTCACTGCTTCATCATCTTGAAAAGGGACGCTCTGGCCTGCTACGAAGAATAGGGCTATCGTTAACAGACTCTTGATAACAGCCATAACGTGACGAGCTAAATTATACAACTATGTACTTATGCGCTTCGTTCAGCAAGACTGATGCAAAGCTTCTCACACACGATATTCGGAATATTTATATGTCATATTTATAAAAAAGACTCTCTAAAACATTATCTAAAAAAAAATTTTATCGCTTATGACGTGCTACTATAGTTTCATAGGTCATCAAGTTTGCTATTTTCTTAGTAATGTATGCTTTTTAACATGTCTTAATCAGCATATTTTGAGATAATAATAGAAAAATAACAAAAAGCAAGACTGATGTACATTTAGTAAAACTGATACAAAACAATATTCCTGCACACGATGACATATCTCGGTATTTTAATATTTTCATAAAATGATATCTTTTAACGATGATATAATATCACCATATTGATAACATCACATACATATGATGATTCATAAATAGTTAACGATTGATAAATAATTTAAACTCCTACACATACAATTCAAAATTGCATCACGTGTGATAGAACACATTATATACATTGTATATATATTATATATATTTCCATAAAATATAATAATACAATTTATATTTCATTAAATAAATTTTTGATAAGATTGTTTTTTTTTTCGCGTAGAACTTATTTCACAACGATCATTTTATTCCAATGTTTCTCTCTATTTCAAGAATTCTTGTATTATAAATAAAATCAGAAATAAATAGAGCATTCATAGGGAAAGTACGCGTAAGTCGCATAAATGTTTGAAAGGAATGTAAACGACTTCCTCCCTTCTCTTCTTCCAATTCTCTGTACCATCTGTTTCTCGTCCGTGGAGATTGACGTTTCAAGGAGATGAATATGAAAGGAAAATCTATTTTCATTGGCAACACATTGCTTTGATAGATATGTGTCTAAATCTTAAAGTAATATTTACACATTCGATAATCTATTAATATCAAAAATGTGGATCTGCTTCTCAGCTGTGTTGTTTTAAATTATATATAAGGAATGCAGAACAAAACCGCGAAATGTTTACTAGTGTGACGACGTTTCTGTGTCCTTTTATGTCAAATCAAATGAGTCGAAGCGACTTGTTGTCGAACTGTCAAGTTCGCGGCTCCGGAACGTAGTCGACCAGCGAGCGAGGATGAGTATGCAGTTCTTCAGTGAAAAAAAAAAACTGAGTGCATCGATCAATGATTTATAGCGTGACAGCGCAAACGAAGTGAAAGTTAGAGTTGTTTATCTAAATATGCAAAACATTCGCGCTGCAATATATAAAAATACACAAAAATCTAATATATATATGTGTCACAGAATTAATAATATATCAAAACTTTTAATAAATTAATTACATATCTCTCCGTGTCTTTTGTTTCAATTACTTAAACTTCTTCCTATTATTGCATGCTAACATTAATGCAAAATAAAAATGTAAGAATATCTTGTAATCTTAAACAAAAAATTTATAATTCTTATAAAACTCAGAGAGAAAAGAGGCAGATTTTATAAAATCAAGAACAGAATTAAAAAAAAAAAATAAAATAAAATAAAAAACTAACATATAAAATGCAAATCAAACGCGATAAAAAGATGCAATAAAATTCTTAAAAGAATATATAATTGCATCCAGAAAATATTTTTTTCTACCTCATTTCTCTGTTCTTAAAATTCTCAGAAATATATAAAATATATTTCTACAACTTTTATACATGTGCAATATTTTTGAAACTACAATAAAAATTAAATCGTGATTGTGTAACAGAAAGTGTTTTAAATGGCGAAAAATTGAAACAGTACTGTTGAAACAGCAAGTTGTTAAGAAGTGAACTACGCTAAACAGCTGTGCGAGGTGTGAATGGTTTGTATATGTATTTAAGCTCACATATAATCGGTGCAAACATGAACATCATCTTTTCTGAGTGCTCCTTTGTGCGGCTAAGAGTGTATGTTCGTAAGACAGATTTAAAAATAGACCTCGATGCGATCAAACAAAGGAATGCAGAACAAAACCGCGAAATGTTTACTAGTGTGACGACGTTTCTGTGTCCTTTTATGTCAAATCAAATGAGTCGAAGCGACTTGTTGTCGAACTGTCAAGTTTGCGGCTCCGGAACGTAGTCGACCAGCGAGCGAGGATGAGTACGCAGTTCTTCAGTGAAAAAAAAAACTGAGTGCATCGATCAATGATTTATAGCGTGACAGCGCAAACGAAGTGAAAGTTAGAGTTGTTTATCTAAATATGCAAAACATTCGCGCTGCAATATATAAAAATACACAAAAATCTAATATATATATGTGTCACAGAATTAATAATATATCAAAACTTTTAATAAATTAATTACATATCTCTCCGTGTCTTTTGTTTCAATTACTTAAACTTCTTCCTATTATTGCATGCTAACATTAATGCAAAATAAAAATGTAAGAATATCTTGTAATCTTAAACAAAAAATTTATAATTCTTATAAAACTCAGAGAGAAAAGAGGCAGATTTTATAAAATCAAGAACAGAATTAAAAAAAAAAAATAAAATAAAATAAAAAACTAACATATAAAATGCAAATCAAACGCGATAAAAAGATGCAATAAAATTCTTAAAAGAATATATAATTGCATCCAGAAAATATTTTTTTCTACCTCATTTCTCTGTTCTTAAAATTCTCAGAAATATATAAAATATATTTCTACAACTTTTATACATGTGCAATATTTTTGAAACTACAATAAAAATTAAATCGTGATTGTGTAACAGAAAGTGTTTTAAATGGCGAAAAATTGAAACAGTACTGTTGAAACAGCAAGTTGTTAAGAAGTGAACTACGCTAAACAGCTGTGCGAGGTGTGAATGGTTTGTATATGTATTTAAGCTCACATATAATCGGTGCAAACATGAACATCATCTTTTCTGAGTGCTCCTTTGTGCGGCTAAGAGTGTATGTTCGTAAGACAGATTTAAAAATAGACCTCGATGCGATCAAACAATCGCAACTGCATTATGCTATGGCAATGAATCGATGACATTGAATCGATATTCGATGCAAACGATTCAGTCTAACAATTAAATTAATATAAACCAACTCACGTATATTTGAAAATTATTAAAAATTGTGTCACAGAATGAAGATTAAAAAAGTCATTAATTGTATCACTCTTTCATATGAGATAAAAAGTTATATAAATTATTATTTATATTATAAATTATAAATTATGTTTATTATAGAAACTATGTTTTTACAGAAAAGATATTTTTTGAAACCTGTGCATCAGAAAGAAGTTGAAAATGCTTGGTACTGTAACGGTGTTACTAGATCCCTTCTTGCTTATCGGACTTCTTCTGGGTAGCCTGTACTTTTATCTTAGGGCGACTTTTGATTTTTGGCAATGTCGCGGTGTACCATTCAAAAAGCCAACCGTGCTCGTCGGAAACTTCGGTCCTCTGCTCCTATTCCGAAAATCACAACCGGAAGGTGTCAAAGAGATGTACCAATGGTTCAAGGACGAGAAGTTCTTCGGCGCGTTCCGCGTAAGATCCCCTGTATTGATTTTACGCGATCCCGATCTGGTGAAAAGTGTATTCGTCAAGGATTTTGCCTGCTTCACGAATCGCGGAATTCCAATCAATAACGCTCAGGTACTGACGCATAACTCTACTATCTTTCTCTTTTTTTTTCAGATGAAAAACAGATGATTTTTAGATTATCTAATTATATTAATTAAACATTTATAAATAATAACACATAAAAAATTTCGACGTCAAAATTTTAATCCCGTTTTAATCAGGATCCGCTCTCCGGCCACCTGTTCAACCTCGAAGGGCGCAAGTGGAAGGGCCTCAGGTCGAAATTGACGCCCGCGTTCTCGTCGGGCAAACTGAAGCGGATGTTCTATCTATTGGTGGAATGCTGCGAGGAGCTGCAGAGGCTCATCGACGCGAGTTGCCACGCTGATCGTAGTACGATCGAGGTGCGGGAACTCGCAGCAAAATTCATCATTGACGTCATCGGCAGCTGCGCTTTCGGCATACAGATAAACGCCCTCACCGACGAGGAGTCCGAGTTTCATCGGGCGGCGAAGAAGCTCTCGAAGCCGAGTTACAAGGCGACTCTCTGGAGGATGCTGCGAACTGCCATGCCAAGGTTGTACAGGCTGCTGGGTGTGCAGGTCATCGATCCGAGCGTCACCAGATTCTTCAAGGACGTCGTGTCGCAGATGATCGAACAGAGGGAGAAAACTGGCGCGCGAAGACACGATTTCATGGACCTGCTGGTCGAGCTGAAGAACAAAGGCGTTTTGGAGAACGAAACCGGCGCGCAAGTCTGTAACAACGAGGACGCTCAAGCAGCGGAGGAAATTGGTAAATTGAACTAGAATGCAAGAGAGAAAAAGCACAGTGTTTTTTTTATTCGCACAGGCTAAAAATAAACTGTTATTTTTATAGAATTAGACGACAATGCTATTGCGGCGCAAGCGTTCGGCTTCTTCGCCGCTGGTTACGAAACCTCTTCGAACACAATTGCGTTCTGTCTCCACGAATTAGCTTTGAATCAGGAAATTCAAGAAAGAACCAGACGAGAGATACACGATGCCATAGAAGCGCGAGATAATAAATTAACTTATGATGCTGTACAAGAGATGAAGTATCTCGATATGGTAATATTAGGTACGCACTGTAATACAACACAATTCAACGATAAATCATATATCACATATATTACACCATGTATCATCACACTATAATTACGAGAAGTTTGCGATTAAAATTATAAGAAAGGCTATTTTAATTTTTAGTTTTTAAAAAAGATCAAGTTTGATAAATGATAAATTACGTTGATCTAATCCTTTTTATAACGTTAATCTTTAATTTCCTCAAAGTTGTAACATACATTTTTCTGAGACCAAGATCGTATTACGTATAAAAAAACTAATGAAGAAATGACTATCGTTTTTCTTGAGTTTTGTTTTGTTGTTTATAATTACATTTATCAAAAAGATTTAATTTACATTTACGTCGAAACACAAATTTTGATTACTAGTAATAAAATTCAAATCGAAATACATTCACCATAAAAATTATAGCAATAAAAAAAATTGGATGAAATTGTTATTACAAGCATAAAAAAAATGTGTGTATAGAAACTCTCAGAAAATATCCGCCAGCCCCATTGATATCTCGGAAGTGCGAGTATAATTATCAGATACCGAATAGCAAAGTGGAACTGCCAGCCGGTATGCGGGTGATTATACCGATTTACGGCTTTCATCACGATCCAAATTATTATCCCGATCCGACAAAATTCGACCCTGAGAGATTTACGGAAGAGAATAAACGCGCGAGACACCCTTACACTTATCTTCCATTTGGAGAAGGGCCACGAAATTGCATAGGTATCGATTTTTATTTATTTAGTCTCTCTGTGATACTTTCTTTTTATTGCAATATTAAATCGAATTTTTTAACTGTATTTATGTAAAAAAAAAAATGCCGGCTTTTCCAAAAATTTTCTGTGTATATTCAGCTTTTGATACATTTTGTGCTGTTGCGTTTGTGTGTGAAGATATCTATTTTTTATTTCTTCTCTCTTAAAAATAAAAACTATGTAGCAAATTGTCAGCGAACGCATAAATTTGGAGCGTCATAAATAAAAACGAATAAATGCGTTTAAGCAACTTTTATACAACGGAGTTCATACAATTTAAATTTTTCCGTAGAATGGCTATAAATGCTAATAGGGTGAATTAAGCAAACAGCTTATCCGGAATTTATAATCTGCTGACTCAACGTTGTTACGTCACGCGTTATTTCGCTCGTATGAACCAAAAAAGCCTGATTATAGTCGACGCTCGAAAACAGTGACAGAATGATTTGTCGTGTCGATAAGAAATCATATTTATAGAATTTGCAAATGTAATCTCGCGCTTATCGATTACATAGATTTTCTTTAGCTTATCTCTGTTTGCCATAATTTATCTTTATCATTTCCAAAAGCAAAACAATACTGAATTACTTAGCATAGTTTAACTAGCATTTAACTCATTATATCTTCTACTAATCATTAATTTAATTAACTTAATATTCAATTACAATAATTGACAAATAAAATATTATATATAATAATTGACACAGATAAGAAAACATATTTTTGGAAATTGCAAAATATATGCGGAACTTATTCGGTAATTTGTTTAACAAATATTTATTTTCGAAACCAAGACGCAAAGTTGCTTGAGCGTGCAAATTTATGCGATTATGGAGAATAACAACTGTAATAATATACTGTACTTTCTACAAAAAAAAAAATATTCGTTATAATTTGATAAGCTTATCTCGAAACCGTTATTAAATCAGTCGTCATTAAGTAACTGATACGTCATAATCGCTGAGACGACGTAATTTGATGATTTTGCAA